ATTATGTTTTTTTTTGTTTTTTTTTTTGTCATTTTGTTTTAGGTGAGCTGACCTCTTTCAGTATTTCCTGTAATGGAGAATCCCCTCAATTTTTGTATGTCTGGAAAAGTCTTAATTTCTCCTTCATATCTAAAGGAGAGCTTAGCTGGATACATTATTCTAGGCTGGTAGTTCCTTTCACTTAATAGTTTAAATATTTGATTCCATTCCGTTCTGGCTTGTAAGGTTTGTGCTGAGAAGTCCAAGGATAATCTAATGGGTTTACCTTTATAAGTTACATTTTTTTCTTCCTGGTTGCCTTGAAAATTCTGTCTTTGTTGCTGATTTTCGATAATTGTAATACAGTGTGGCTTGGTGAAAGCCTTTTGGGGTTGAGATAATTGGGTGTTCTATTGACTTCTTGAATTCCAAGCTCTAGCTCATTCCTTAGATTTGGGAAATTCTGGTCAACTTCCTTAGATTTGGGAAATTCTGGTTAACTATTTGCCTGAAAATGCTTTCTAATCCTTGTTCCTTTTCCTCGCCTTCAATAATGCCCATTATTCTTATTAAAAATAATAACTTTTTAAATGGAGGGCTTGAATCACAGCAGAAGAATTGCAAGAGATTTGACAAAAATTATTGTCTGCTTTAAATATATATTTGAGTCAAGAAGCAACTTAATCATTACTGAAAATTTTCAGAAGTTGGACAAAATTAGAGATATAATAGCACTAATAAATGATAGAACAATTTCCCGACAGGATTACATCAAAGTCATTAGCATCATCAGCACCACATCTATGCACAAATGATGATGGGGCTTTGAAGAAAGGTGTGGAATTTGCAAAAATTATAGTATGGAGGATGTACCCAAATCACTGAGAAGGGCGTCACAAGGGATCAAGCACTGCTCTGCATCCTGACAAGTCATCACGTTCAAGTTACTCAAGGGTGAGACTCAGTTGTGCCATTACAGGATAGCATGTCCACTTCCAACCCAACGTTCTGCCAGAGCAAGCAACTTTCCATCTCCATTAACATGGCAGTGATACAATTAGCTATTGGCTGTGAATATTAGACATTTATTGAACTCCTACATCATAATGGGTACTATTCCATTCAGATGTGGAGACGAGACAATCTTTCTCTGTTGAAAGACCCTTTCAGGAGTCACTAATGGACAAGAAAGCTCTATGGTCTGATAGTTTCTTACTTATTTGTAACAAAGATCCTAAAGGAACGAGATTAGAAATCATCAAAGAAAGATTAGATAGGATTTTTGTAGTTTTACCCTCAGGATTTAAAAATCTTTGGAAAGTACTCTATTGTGGGATAAAGGAGGCAACTTTTGGCTCTTCACAAACCATTCCTTCCTTTTCTCCCCTGACTGCACGTGGTGAGTAGCAGAGTATTTGCTGTGCTTCTGTAGCACTTTAAAATGTTCATCCAGTAAAATGTTCATCAGCTCAATCTCTTCCCTCTTACAAAAGCTCGTGTTTAGGCCCTTCACAGTGATCAGGCAGGATGCCCACAAAATGCGTCTGAGTGGAATTCCCAATTTACTAATTTTACTTTCTGTTTTTTAGGCTGCATTGCACTCAGACTCTTCTGAGAATTGCTTTGTGAAATCTGCAGGGATGTTTCCTCATCTTCAAGTATCCCGAAACCACCATTGGAAGCAAGGCAAACTCTCGCACATTTGGCTCAGCGTAACTGCAGACTACGGAGATGTTTCTCAAACCGGGAATGTATGGGAACACAGGTCATCTTGGGATCTTGTTAAAATAACTCAGTAGGTCTGGGATACAGCCTGAGACTCTGCATTTCTAACAGGCATCCAGGTGTTGCTGTTGCTGGTGGTTCTTGAGTAGCAAGGTCCTATGCGAACATTTCACAAGATAATGCAGGAGTGTGGATGTTGGAGGGGGAGATGAGACCAGATACATCCTGAATTCATCACTGAACCTCTCTAAACTTTGGATTCCTCATTGATAAAGTGGAGTAATTATAAAACTTACCTCCCAGAGCTACTGCGAAAATAGCTAATGCTCTCAAATTGAAGAAGTCTATTGCACTCACTAGAGAAGATTCTCATGAAGTGGGGTTTACTCCTTCTCTCCTGAAATGATGGGATCAGTTAATAGGATGTTTATTGTTGACTAAGAAATGACTTGCATGGGATAATCTGATGTTCTCATTTGTATCATCTTACAATGTCTCTTTGTAATATTTTAAAAAAGTCAGTTATCATGCTGGTCTCACATGCTTCTTGATGCTAAGTTCTACTCAATTTGAGGTTCTCTTCACTCAGGTTTCTCGACCCCCAAATTGAAAAGCTGCTTAAGATCCCGTAGTGGATATAGTTTAGGAAAATAGAGCTAATTCTTGGCAGAACTGCTTTTTAATGCAACACAACAGCTATAATTACCTTTGGGAAGTAGAAACATTTCTGGAATGTTACAAAATCCATTTGATTTGCAAAAACATATATTGCAATTCAGCCCAAGTGGTGATTAATAAGTTAGCAGGGAAGACAGGAGACAGAACAATAAATCATTTTCATGTTTTCGGTTAAATGTTTCAATCCTCATGACATTTAATTCTTGACTTTGGGAGGTACTGGACAGTGAATTAACTCATTAAACCCAGTAAGAAAAGCCTAGCTTAGCAGCTAACTTGGGATAAAAAAGGGGTGAAAAGCCTCTATGTCTAAGGTCTTCTCAAACAGATATAATTTTAACCTATGGCCCTTAGCATTGTTCAAAAAGTGTGTCTGGATTACTTCTGATAGACTCCTTGCAAGTCATCATGCTTTCTGAAAACATCCATGAGCATAAATAGACTTGAAATTCAGTAAAGTGATCACCTGGCTCTACCTCTATCTCTGACTCTTTAAGCAGAGAGATCTAAAAATCCACTGGGTAGGGAAAATGCCCTATTCCTAGTAAAACTTGGAAGGTGCAAACCATATAAGTAAGTATCCAGAGAAAAGCAGGAATATTGATTCGCTGTGAAGAGCTATGTAGAGCAGCCTGCCCTCACGGAGTTCCTATACTTTCAGAATTAAGTTTTCCTACAATCAGAGGAACATAAAGAAAGAATTTTTGGCTTGTGGATATGAAGATTAGGGTAGATCAATGTTGTTTTAACAAGCTTTCTACATGGTCCTACTCAGTATGCTTTGGCTCAATACTTCTATTGTCTTTGTTGTTGTTATTGCTATTACTATTATTATTTTGGTCCCAGATGGAATAGAATTTTTCCTAAGAATTACTAAATGGCCAGTTGTAACACCATGCTCAATTTTGCCCTGTACCTAAATTTAGCATAGGCACATGCATAAACACCATCGGATTTATTAACTATTTTCTCCAAGAGCAACATTTACCAATAGGTATTTGTTAATTTCATTT